CCTGTCCTGTGTCTCCTGAGCACCTTATAGCCTGTGTCAGTCCTTCTCAGGGGCTTCTCGGGGACTCCTGCTCTGCCCACTCTGGGAGGATGTGGCCSTCTCAGCTGCTGCTGCCACCAGCATCTTGCACTGATGCAGACGGCAGYGGCTCCGGCCCCAGTGGCAGCTCCCTGTGGGATGGCTCTGGCCTGGAAGGATGGTGGCTCGGAGTGGGATGGCTCCAGGTGGAATAGTGGCTCCAGGCTGGATGGTGGCTCCAGGCCGGATGGCAGCTCCGGCCTGGATGGATGGTGGCTCCAGGCTCAATGGTGGCTCTGGACTGGTAGCGCCGGGCGCTCTCAGGCAGAGGCCATGCTGCCAGGAGACACCTTGGTGGCACATKCAGCAGGTCACACAGGTCCTTGCCAGTTCCAGGCCTGGGCTGCACCTGGAGTGACATCCGTTTGCCCCCAGTTGCCTCTGCGGTGGCTCCTGCTCAGCCAGCGATGAGGGAAAGACCAAAACCTCCAGGCTGGGGAGAGATGCTGCCCTGCAGTGCCTCTCATGRATCTCTGCCAAGCCTGAGCAGGATCCTTGCATGTGGGAGCCACAGGCAGGTCCACGTTTCCCCCTGGTCTTCCCAGCACTTCTCCCTTGCTCCAGGAATCACCTCCATGTGCAGGTGGCTGCCCCAGCAGAAATTGACTTCAGCTGTGGCGGTTTCCGCTCAAGCTCCCGGCCTTGTCTCGCTTCCAGGACACCCTCCTGTGCCACCATCACCCAAACAGCTGCTGCTGGGATGGGATGCACGGGATGTGCAGGAGCCACCACGAGCAGCCATGCCAGTGCACAAGGACGGATCCATCTCCCTCGCCCGGGGCTGCCAGAATGCGCCACAGCCGAGCCTCCTCCTCCATAAACTGCAGGGAACACAGCCGGGGCTTTCACCCTCTGAATTAAAGTGTGCCTGGGACAGCCTAGAAATCTTATTGAAAGCATCTGCTGGTTTAAAGGAGCTAATTAAATTCGTCAGCACATATAGGATCAGCATTTTCACGGTTTAAAGGGTCAAAGGAGAAAGTACAACCAGAGTCGCCAAACAAGTGATTAATGAGAGCCCACAAAAACTGGGGGCTGCTGGTGGTGTGGGGCTTTGGCAGGTCCCGTGGGTGGGTGGGAAGTCGCTGAGTTCTGGTGTCTGCTTCTGCTGCAGCACCCAGGGGCTGGCGCCGTCATAGGAGTGCAGCACCGCGACGCTCTTAGATCCTTCGCTGAACATCCATGTGCCGGAGGGGTCTGGACCCCTGAGCCCTGCACAAGGCATGTGTGGGGGCGTATGTGTGCATGCTCGTGTGCACGTGTATGTTCGCATATACGTGTGTGCATGTAGGGGTGTATCTGTGCATGTGCATTTGTGYACATGTGTGTGGCACAGACAAGGAGCAGATTAAAGGCGCTGGGTCACGTGGGAGCTGCTGCTGGGGGGACCTACCTGGGATTTGGGTTCTTACAGCTAATAGGATCGCTAGAGCTCAAGGCCATCATCCCATCAAGATAAACGTCTCTGGTGCCCAATTTTAAGCAATCTGAATGCAATTAGGCTAATTGGAAAACAAGTAAAGAAGGATTGTGTTAATATAGCCTTGCAGCACGAACCCCTGCCCCCTCCCGGCCACCCTCCCTCCCAGGGGCAGCTGAGCACCAGGGGCCCAAGTCCAGGCTCTTGGCTGCCAGGACACACAACGCCCCACAGGCAGTGGGGCTGGCAGGCTGGACCTGGGCTGGTGATGCACTGTGCTGCACTGCACTGCACTGAATTACACTGTGCTGCATTGCACTGCACTGCATTGCACTGTGCTGTACTGCAAGGCGCTGCACTGTGATGCATAGCACTGCACTGAATTACATTGTTCTGCACTGCACTTGCATAGCACTGCACTGCACAGCACTGCGCTGCATCGCAGGACACTGCAACCCCTGCACAGTTCTTGTGGGATCCCTGCAAGCCATGGAGCTCCTCTGAGGCACTGGAGCTCTCCTCTGCCCAGAAGAAGCCAACACTCACCAGCCCAGAAGCAGAGGTGACTGCCATGGTGTGTGTGATGAAGTGGTGATGGAGGAGGCAGCTCCTCCCTCACACCTTGTGCTTCCAAGGAAACACTGACCAGATCTGCTGGGGTGAAAGAAGTGAGCAAAGCCAGCRCACGTGGTGCTTAATCTGTTGGATGATGAATACGAGTCAGGGTGCAGTCCCGCTGGGTCCCTCCCTCGCTACTTCCTCCCTCTCCCCACTCCCCTTTGCTGCCCAGCCTCCCAAGTCCTGCTCACTGTCCATMTCCAGCCAGGAGTTCCTAGCTGTGGCTTGGGCCCATGTGTCCCCCCCTGCAGGCATCTGCTCTGCAAGACAGCGCTTATTTGAGCTGACAGAGAGAAAGGACTGGGGGAGAGGAAGGAATAATCTGTGACATTCTACAGCGGGGGGTTCGTTGTGCCAGATAATATCCCATGCACATGACTCAACAGGATGAAAACTGGAGCTGCTTCTTCCACGCACAGGAAGCAGGTATAGGAGACAGCTGTGCCTCAGCGATTTCCATCTCCAGAATATTTGTTAGCTTCTCCTCCAAATTACAGCAATAATTATTGCAATAACACAACACAAAATGCCTACCAGCTGTAACAGACGTGTGGGAGCACCTCCTGGAAAGGCGAATAATTTACTCCAGCAACTTGATTCCCCTGATGGATATGTTCGCATCCGATCCTGCCCACCCCTGTGCTTTTCTAAGGAGAAACAGTCTTGGTGGAGCTGAAATGTGCCATAATATCATAATATCTGAGGTTCAACACGAGCATGAGACTCACCAGAGGACTCAGTGGTTACAGGAGATTTAGCCAATTGYCAGTGCACAGTGCCCTTGTGTGCAGCAAATACAAGGGCATTAACTAATGCTTGGGGCAAGGGAACCCTTCTCTGTTAAGCGGAAATAACTCATGTACTGAACGGGACGTGTGTGTTGCTTTGGGTGCAAAACCACATTTGCACTGTGGTTAGTAGCAAAGTTTTGGAGTCTTTGCCCTGCGTATGTTGCTGCGACATGTGCCAGAAAACAGCCCCTGTGCCATGAGCCAACACTTTCCAGGGCACCTGCTGCCACRTCAGGGTCTGGACAAAGTGATTTTGCTGCTTCATCTCATCTTGTCTTTCTTTTTTTGCTACATCAAGCAAAAGAAAGAGTCCTAAGACTGCTGGAGTTTCTGTAGGGACAGGCAGGTTTTGTGCTGCTTGTGAGTGCCACGAAAATCCAGCTCCAAATTAGAAGAAATTAGGGACATTGCACAGTTCATTCATCTCCACTAATAGAGTTCTTGGGAAATACACATGTAGATTAAAGGCACACAATGGCCCCTGGCTGATTGCTTTGAGTACCCTCCAATGCTCCTACAATGGCACTGACTTGCTTTTTATGCTGTGCACAAAAGCCACACTAACCTTTTCTTGTCTCTTCTGCTGCCCTCTTCCCCAAAGGGCCATCCCAAAGGCAAACCCCACCTGGAATCCTCCACAAGAGCCCCAGCACTGGACAAGGAATTACTTCCAGGACACAAGACCATAGACCTTGGCAGCACAAGGGCAGAGGCAAATGCCGCTGTTCCATGTTTTGGGGTAATTCTTCCAGGCAATGCCTGGAGGAGGCCAGGAGGAAAAGTCACCCTGATGCTGGGGAAAGGAAAGATGAACATCTGTGGAGATGACTTCCATCTTTTAACAGATTATTATAGTTGGAAGAAGTAGTGGTGCTTTTCCTTCACAGATGACCTTCTTGGGCATTTGAAGATGGAAGCATCTCTAGAACTAAATGCAGGCGAAAAAATGTTCTGGGTGATATTGTGTTTTATTTTTGGTTTAACTAGTTGGGATAAAAGACGGTTGGTATCTCTGAGCTGGAGGCTGATGTTAGCAGAATCAATAAAGAGAGAAGGGAAGGGAGAGGCACAGGCAGGAGTGAGCTGGAGGTAGCAGGCATGATAGCATTAGTCAGTACTGAGCTAAGCCCAGGTTCCCAACACACCCAGAGCAAGGCGTGGGGTGGTTTCCAGCTCTCCCTCTGCTCTGAGGTTTTTGAGATCTCCTATGAAGCCAAGCCTTGCTCTCTAGATTCCCCAACTCCACCCCCTTGCCAGGGGAAGGGGATGAAGAACCAGTTTGTGTCTTGGGGTTTCCTCAGTGACAMCAGCAACTTGGCCATTTTCCTCAGAAATGTTTCCCAGAGCTTTCCCTGGGCTTATGAAGGCTGAGAGGCCAAGATCTGCTCCTTCAGATGCCCCTAGAGTCCATCTCCCCTCACATGCTCCACACACATTTGCTATAAACCTGCCTTTAAAGGGAGCCAGGTCCCAGCACAGACATCCTGTCAGAGAACTGGAGCCAAGCCTTACCTCTGGTGCTTTTTTCTCTAAGCACTTGAGCAGGGGACAGGACTGTGTCCTCCTCCGCCATGTCATGTTTGGCAGGGTGAAAAACCGCTATATTTTAAAAATGTGTGCCAGATACAGGTGGGAGCTGTCGAGAAGCCCGAGCAGCTGAACCGGAGCCGGGCGTCCCGGCGCGAGCTCCAGATGCCCCCGCGGTCCCACGGCACCTCCGACGGTGCTCGCCGGGGCCGTGCCCGGGGCCTGGGGCGGGCGCGGGGGCAGCAGCGGGGGCGGGGGCTGGAGCTGCCCTCCCCGTCCCTTCCCGCCCCGTCCCGTCACGTCCCGCCTGGGCGCGGGGG